ATAGAACATTTCTGCTTTCGGGTATTTAGAATAAAAAAATCTACAAAGATAAAATTAATAAAGATATTATGTCAGAATTTCTTAATAGTCTTGATTCATTTTCATTGCGACAACTACAAGTTTTATAATCAATACGATACTTTTAAACAACGTAACGTGATTTGAGAAAGTGATTCGTATTACATGTAACATGTTTTGCATTGGAATTATATCTTGTGTTTTGGAATATGATGAAAATATCAGAATATAATATATATTATTTTGACTCTATGATATTTATAATTTTATATTTATTATATATTAATTTTATTATTATATATTAATTTAAATATATATTATATTATTATATATTAATTTTATTTATATGTAAATTTATATATGAAATCTATAACAAAACATTATTTTATTCAATGAATTTTTTTTTAATAAATATCCACAAAATATTCTTTCATTTTATATGTATTATTTATGTGGTATTTTGTAAAATTTAGCATAAGAAAAAAAAATAATTTAATATTTTATTTTCTTAATTTAAAATATTTTCTATTTTTATTAATATATTGTTCTACTTTTAGGCTGGACATCGACTACCTCGATATAGTATAGTAAACTGGGCAGTTTGTACACCAGCATCATGTAATTTTAAAGATGTTGAAACATCTCTTCATGATATTCTTACACGATATACATCTCAAACTGGTCTAAAGATTACAGTAAAGGTGAACAAAGAAATGTGTCAAGTAAAAAGAAAATCTATACCAAATGAAACTATGTTTGTCAGGTAAGAAATATTTATTGTATATTATCATTATATATATGTATATGTATATATAATATTGTATATATTAACTTTTCAGTTTATTTTTCATGGCTATATTTGCATTAACAATCATAGCAGCATGTTATGATCATTATAAAATATCAACAAGTGAACTACTTTTATCATTTTCTTTGAAACGAAACTTTAAAAAGCTTATATCACTAGAACGAGGACAAAATGATATAGCTACACTTCATGGTGTAAGAGCTATAAATGCTATAATGTTGGTTTTAGCACATAAAAGCATGGCTCTTTTTTTTAATCCTTATTCAAATAGAACAGAAATGAGCGAAGTATGATTGTACTATTTAAAAAATTTTAAATCATTACAACAATAAGGAAATCTATAATTTTTTTTTTTCAGTATCTTGGTAAACCATGGACTGTCATAGGAAGAGCTGCTAGTCTTTATACAGATCCATTTATAATGCTTTCTGGCCTATTAACATCATATTCTTTTATTGAAAAATTAAAAAAAAATGGCAATTTAAATATTAAAGATGAATACTTATCTCGTCTAATTAGGTAATAATTGACTTATATTTTATGATAAATTATTTTATATTCTAATTTTAAATATATTGATATTTAAATTCATTTTATAGTATAAAATTTTACAACTTAAAATTTATGATTTATTATTTATTAAATAATAATTTTCTTTTTTAGAATAGTACCACCTTTAGCAACTCTGATATTGTTGTGTACTTATGTATTACCTTATTTTGGTTCTGGACCACAATGGAACTTAGTGATAACTGAACATGCAAATATTTGTAAAAGAACATGGTGGAGAAATTTTTTATTTATCCATAATTATTTTGGTTTTGAGTCTATGGTATGAATTTTATATTAAATTAATAATCACGACTTTAAGAAATATTTATAAAATATTTTTTTAATTTTAGTGTCTCACACATACTCATCACCTAGGTATAGATACTCAATTATTTATTCTTTCACCTTTAATGATACTTTTCCTTTATAAGAAGCCAAAGACTGGAACTATTTTTCTTGTTATATGTGCTTTATTTTCAACAGCACTTCGATATTTTGTTACTTATTATAAAAAATTAAATAATTATGTTTTTTTTGGTACATCGTAAGTTAATATATTAAAAAAATGTTAAGTACATTAAATGTAATTTTTCTTATATCTTTATTTATTCATCTATTTATATTTACAGAATAAAACAATTATATGATACTGCAAATTATTCATATATTCTACCATCACATAGATTAACTGTTTATATAATAGGAATTTTCATCGGTTATTTACTAAGATATTTACCTAAAGATTTTAAGATGAATAAAGTAAGTATTTACTTATATTATTTATTTTATGTATATATGGATGTAGATTATCAATTGATACAATGTTATATTCTTATATAATAATTTTTATATTTTTTTTAGATAACTTTATATATAGGTTGGATTTTATGTACAATAATGTTTTGTTGTGCATTTTTTGGACCTGCACATATGGGATCTATAAATTATATATATAATCCGATAGATGCAGCAATGTATAATGCATTTGCTCCTATTGGTTGGTGTGCTATTTTTGCATGGGTAATTGTGATGCATCATACTGGAAATACAAATGGTAAAAATAATTTTATAGGATGTAGATCAATTATTTTTGATTATATAATTGTAAATGATTATCAATTTAATGAATAAAATTTTTTTTTAGGTTGGTTCGGTAAATTTTTAGCATGGAAAGGTTTTCTGATCACTACAAAATTGAGTTATGCAATATATTTAACACAGTTTCCAATATTCTTTTACAATGTTGGAAGCATTCGAAGTGCTGAGCATTTTGAATTCTTTAGCATGCAAGTAAGTTGTAATATAAATGTATGCATAAATACATATATTAATTATTAATAATCTTTTTTTACAGTTCAATTTACATGAACTTTTGTGGATTATTATGTTGTCAATAACTCTCACCTTACTAATTGACACACCATTTCAAAATATTAAAAATTATTTAATGACAAAATCTTCAGTGCCAAAAACAACAAAATTATTGAAAATGCAATAATTTTATCAATAACTACAATTCAAATGATCAAAATTATTGTAAATAGTAATCTAAAATTTTTATTTTGTTTTTAGTAAAATAACTTACCCTCATATACAATGTATATGATAGCTAAGAACAATTATAATTTATATAAATATTATATTTGATTTATAAATAAGTATCTGTAAATAATATATATTTTTATAATCTTAATATTATATTTTTTAAAACTTTTATAAATATTATAAAATTTATTAAACAATATATAGACATATATAGAAAAATTTTTACCAATTTTTTTAATACAATCTTATTCACTTAAAAACTTTG